TTAATAAAGATTACGATTTTTTTAGAAATTTATAGAAAAAATTTATTTTCCGGAAGTTGATAACCAGAAGTAACCCTTTTATCGGTTGTTTTAATGAATAAAAAGGCTATTAATGATGTCGTATTAAAGCATATTGGATAAAAATAACGAATTTTCCAAAAAATTTTAATAATACCAATTTTGCCGGAAGTTGATAACCGGAAGTAACCTATTTTAGCTTGATTTTAATCATTGAAACGTCGTTAATGGTATTATATGACAAGATTCTTAATACAGATAACGAATTTGTCAAAAAAAATTAATAATATTAATTTTCCGTGAAGTTGATAACCGGAAGTACCCCATTTTTGGGTCATTTATAAAGATAGAAAGGCGGGGTTTCGCATAATCTTAAATAATTTGTATAGAAAATTAAAAATATAAGAAAAAATTTTAATAAAATTCATTTTTCCGGAAGTTAATAACCGGAAGTAGTCCATTTTTGGGTCATTTATAAAGATAGAAACGCGGGGTTTCGCATAATCTTAAATAATTTGTATAGAAAATTAAAAATATAACAAAAAAAATTAATAAATTTCATTTTTCCGGAAGTTAATAACCGGAAGTAGTCCATTTTTGGGTCATTTATAAAGAAAAAACGTGGGGTTTCGCATAATCTTAAATAATTTGTATAGAAAATTAACAATATAAGAAAAAATTTCAATAAATTTCATTTTTCCGGAAGTTAATAACCGGAAGTAGCCCATTTTTGAGTCATTTATAAAGATAGAAACGTGGGGTTTCGCATAATCTTAAATAATTTGTATAGAAGATTAAAAATATAACAAAAAAAATTAATAAATTTCATTTTTCCGGAAGTTAATAACCGGAAGTAGTCCATTTTTGGGTCATTTATAAAGAAAAAACGTGGGGTTTCGCAAAATCTTAAATAATTTGTATAGAAAATTAACAATATAAGAAAAAATTTCAATAAATTTCATTTTTCCGGAAGTTAATAACCGGAAGTAGCCCATTTTTGAGTCATTTATAAAGATAGAAACGTGGGGTTTCGCATAATCTTAAATAATTTGTATAGAAGATTAAAAATATAACAAAAAAAATTAATAAATNTTTAAAGAAGATTAAAAATATAACAAAAAATTTTAATAAAATTCATTTTTCCGGAAGTTAATAACCGGAAGTAGTCCATTTTTGGGTCATTTATAAAGATAGAAACGTGGGATTTCGAATAATCTTAAATAATTTGTAAAGAAGATTAAAAATATAACAAAAAATTTTAATAAAATTCATTTTTCTGGAAGTTAATAACCGGAAGTAGCCCATTTTTGGGTCATTTATAAAGATAGAAACGTGGGATTTCGAATAATCTTAAATAATTTGTAAACAAGATTAAAAATATAACAAAAAATTTTAATAAAATTCATTTTTCCGGAAGTTAATAACCGGAAGTAGTCCATTTTTGGGTCATTTATAAAGATCAAAACGTGGGGATTCGCATAATCTTAAATAATTTGTATAGAGGATTAAAAATATAACAAAAAACTAACTTTTTTTGATAATTAATGAGTAAAAAATTTTCTTTTTCTTACCAAAACGCCATAATCAAGATCAAAACGACGATTATAACCTGTATAAACTTCGTGGAGCACAACTCATTCTCCTCGATACATTTATGATGTTTAAAACATTTCTTCGAATGTTGCACGTGCTTCATCGTATTTCCACTTCCAATTGTACTGTTCGATTTCAAACTATCGCCTCGTTTCAACTTGTTCAACCTGCGATTAATCTTTTCTAACTGATCGATTCGATTCTCCAAATTATCGGTGACTTTACACAACTCCTTCACCGCCCCGATGTTCTCCATAAAAATCCTCTCTTTATTCACGACTAAAAAGTTATCAATCGACGTCCCATCGTGGAGGATTAAATTTCCCGCCGGGCTAACAGCCTCGGGTAAAATCTCAGCTACTTCTTGGGCTATAACTCCAGTGTCGATCATGTTTCCTGACGATCTTTCGAGTTTTGACGCGATTTCCGAGTCATATTCGTAGCGGACAACGCGTAATTTTTGAACGTTTTGGAGTTGTTGTCGGGTATCGCAATCGACTATGTTCTTTTTTGCGCGGATGTCGCTGGGTTGGATGATGTGGCCGGTTATTTTTAGGTTCCCGTGGACCACTAAGGCTTCATCTGGGCGGTCGGTGTTGATTCCAACTTTTCCCGCGTGGAAAACTGAGTCCTAATTAATTCAAAGATTTTATTAAAATTAATTAGATTCATTAATTTGATTTAAACTTACTTGTGTTTGTCCTTTTTGCCATATTAACTCAACGTCGTTTTCAAATTGACCGGGATTTGAGGCTCTAACTATTATTTTTTGACTTGCGTGGCTTATTACGGGGAAATCCCCGTGAGTTGTGTGCGCGTGCAAACCTACAACTAACTAAAATAAAGTTAATATTAGAAGATTATTATTATAAGTGTAAAAATGTTGTTTATTTGATATAAATTTGTAAAAAAAATTTTTTTCTGGAAGTTGATAACCGCAAATAAAGAGATTTTAGGTTATAAATTGGATTAAATTTAATTTTTATCGTTGCTGTATGATAGGAAATGAAAAATGCTTTGAAATGAGCCCAAACTCGACGGGGTTATCTCAAAGTTGATAAACCGGAAGTTGGTAACCGGAAGTAACGATATCTCGGTTATTTTTAGTGATACAGCATCGAGTTTGGGATGGTATTAAAGGGATTTTAATGAAGATGAGGAATTTCTTGAAATTGTTTAATAAAATTTATTTTTTTTTAAGTTGATGACCGGAAGTAACCCTTTATTGCATCATTCTAAAGTAGAAAAATGTTGCGCTTTGTGTTATAATGCAGTATTTGTAAAAAAAATAACAAATTTGTTAATAAAATGGTGCTTGTGTACCATTTCGATCAAATATAACGCTCTTATAGCTGCCAAACTGCGAAAAAGAGACTTTTTAGGTTACAATTTGGAACAAATTTAATTTTTATGGTTCCTGTATGATAGGAAATGAAAAATGCTTTGAAATGAGCCCAAACTCGACGGGGTTATCTCAAAGTTGATAAACCGGAAGTTGGTAACCGGAAGTAACGATATCTCGGTTATTTTTAGTGATACAGCATCGAGTTTGGGATGGTATTAAAGGGATTTTAATGAAGATGAGGAATTTCTTGAAATTATTTAAGAAAATTTATTATTTTAATGGTTGATGACCGGAAGTAACCCTTTCTTGTATCATTTTAAAACGAAAAAATGTTGAGTTTTGTGTCAAAATGCAATATTTGTAATGAAGATAACGAATTTGTTAAAAAAAATTAATAATATTAATTTCCCCGGAAGTTGATAACCGGAAGTAACCCTTTATCACTTCATTTTTAAATAGAAAAATTTAATTTTTGGACATATAATGCATTATTCGTGGTGAAGATGACGAATTTACTTAAAAAAATTATTAAAATTAATTTCCCCGGAAGTTGATAACCGGAAGTAACCCTTTATCGCTTCATTTTTAAATAGAAAAATGTAATTTTTGGA